GCGGGGCCGTACGCGGGAACCACGCGCAGCTGGAAGCTGAATCTGAAATCTTTGAGTTATATTTGGGCGGGGAACATAACCTCAAAGTTTCAGCTTCCTATCTTTTCGCGTTCCCAAGTTATCAATTTTCCCCCAAAACTTTCCCCCTCTCGTACGCGGGGCCTAGGCGTGCGGGAGGGACGATACCGCGGTTCTGGGGTGGTATTTGGCTGGGGTACCCACTAGCAAAATCTCGGCGCTGGAACTTGCTTGGTTGCCGAGTTGAAATACCCGGACAGACACACACACACTAACATACACACACACATACACACGTACATACATACACAGACGGGGTCGTTTCAATATGCGTTTTTGCAATTTGCATATAGGCAAAAACGCATAATGACAGTAACGGCGTGCAACGACAAAAATATCGGCTTCTAGAGCGAAGCTCCCGATCCTTCAAAGTTCTGCGAGCCGCCTTGGCCTGTAGTCATTGCCACCTTCTCCCAATCTTTCCTTGACAAACAAATACACACAGCCGCTCCTGCAGATCCATTTTCGTCAAAATGCTTATACATATTTGACAAAAATACCATATGTACAGAATTAAGACAGACGAAGTAATGACTGTTAATCACTGAGATCCCAAAGATGTACATGAATCACTAAAATCTAAAACTGTTCAATAAACATCGACATCACTTAACGCGACATCTCTTTCCCATATCAATTAACGAAACGAAAAATGTGAAGAAACGGATTCATATATGAAGCTGCTACTGAAAACAGTACTTACCAACCCGGACATGTCGCAGATAACATCCCGAGGGATTAGATTTGGAGTCTTAGTCCGTTATCTTTTTTTTGCATTGTTGTGCGTTTTTGCTTATATGCAAAAACACATATTGTGACGACCCCGGTGTGTGTGTGTGTCCGGATATTTCAATTCGGCACCCAAGCAAGCTCCGGCGCCAAAATTTTGCGAGTGGGTCCCCGGCCAAGTGCCACCTCAGAACCGCGGCACCAATCCTCAAGCACGTCTAGGTCCAGCGTACAAGCACCCCAAAGTTTTGGCGAAAAAATCGCTAACTTGGGAACCAAAAAAGCTAGAAAGCTGAAATTTTGGGATCATGTTTCCCGCCCATATAGAACTCCAAGGTTTTAAATTCAGCACTCAGATGTGAGCGTTTCCCGCGTACGGCTCCGTGAGGGTTCCTGGCGCCAAAATCACTAGCTCGGGAACTAAGACAGATGGGAGGCTGAAACTTTCAGGAAGTGTTCCCAACTCATCTAAAACTTAAATTTATCAAATTCAGCCCCCCGTTATGCGTGGTTGCCATGTACGGCACCGTGGAAGTTTTTGGCGGGAATTTTTGGCGGGAAAACGGATAACTCCGGAACCAAAGAAGCTGGGAGGCTGAAACTTTCAGGAAATGTTCCAATTCATCTTCAACTTAAATTTGTCTAATTCAGCCTCCCGTTATGCGTGGTTGCCACGTTTGGCACCGTAATATTTTCTGGCTGGAATTTGGTTAGCTCGGGAACTGAGAAAGCTGAGAACATAGGATTTCAAGGGGATGTTCTTTGCTCTGGTATAACGTAGATAATTAACTTCCCAAAATTCGAGGACCAGTATGTACAAGAGGTTTCTAGCTAGCGGAATTTCATGTGATCTTATTACAGCACGAAACACTGCAAAAACGCATGATCGCACGGGTTCACCCAGTGCGCGCCACCAATGATTTGGTCAGTGCCATGAGTGATCTGTTTTTTCGCCATCTTGGTTAGTCTGGGATCGGTTGCTGTTCTGCGACGTTGTTTAGAAGACATCTTTGGAGGGGGCACAGAACGAATAGCCTTTCTCGATGCTACATTGACCGTCGTAATGGTGGATGACTTGGTCTCTTTTTCGATTTCCATCTTTCCCACTTTGATAACGCCGTCGTAGTTGTCGTTCCTTTAGTACCGACTGGAATCGAATTAGTTCCAACCAGTACAGGGATGTCTGGCATATTCAAGCTTATTTCTTTGGCAGTTACGCTGAGTACAAGGTAGTGATTCTGAATGTAGCGCTGGCGGTGTCGGTCACCGTTGTAAAGTTCACGATATATGACATAGTCACCGTCTGAATCCTCGTAGTTTGCATTCGAGACTTCGTACTCGTCATTCTTGAAGCCATCGTTCATCGTAGTGAGTACCCTAGTTATAAATATCCAAGAGAGTCCAAGACACAACATTAAATGCAAATACCTTAGGTGAGATTATTCTCCAAGACTAGTGAGCTCCAAATATTCGGTTCGAGAAAAATTGGGAAAAACAAAAGGCGCACTCGGCAGTGAATCATGATGGAAAGCACAAGAAATGCTGGGGAGCTTCAAAGAGCAGAATACTTTAGCATGGGTCGCATAAACTTCATCGATCCACAACTTCGTACTTCCTGCCAAAGTAGTATTACATGGTAAGAAGCTTAGCTCCGCGCGAAAGCTACGGAGCGACGCTTCTAACCCTAAGTCTTTCTCCCTGGCGACTAGAGATTTCTGGCAAGAATTTGCGGCGCACCACTTATACTCGAACTGCTGCGTACTGCTAAATTCTGGTCTGGGACCCACTCTAGCCAGCTGAATCACCGGCCATACATCTCTTCTTGCCTGATACATTCGGAACTAACTAAAGTTACTTCAAATTGCCGGATTAAATTAAACTGGAGATTAGACTGAAGTGTTGGAACCGGTTCCGAGCAAGTATGTCATGAATGTTGGCTGCAGCACACTTTTTACTGCTTGTATACGGGCACACAAATCTGCACAAATTATGATGGCTAGGTGGTGTGTGTTGAATTCGAAGAGGCAATGGCAATTACTAGAACTCGGCTTGGCTCGGGCGGCGTTGACAGGGTCTGGGAACGATTTTTTGGGTGTCCTTATCCCGCTGAAGCATATACACTAGATGCCGCAGACAGGGCGGTGGTGGAGGAGATGGGAGTTGTGTACGGTTCCGGGTGCGGGAATTGGAGGTAAGGGGAGAGGTTTGGCAGGGTGGATTGATTGGTTACGTGAAATGGCCACATGGAGGAGGGGTCGTGGGGAGACGATGGCCGAAAGGAGGAGGAACCGTGCCGCTGATTTTTGTCGCGGATACGTGGGATAGGGAAGAAATCGGGAGGGGGTACACTGCAGAGGACACAGGAAGGGAGAGGGAAGGGAGAAGGGGCGGGCGGGGGGAGGAAAAGGGCTGGCAATGCATGAGCAAATTTCTTGAGTGTTAGGATTCGAGACACGGGGAAGGGTTGGGATGGATGTAAGGGACCGGGGCTGTATGGATACATTAAATAGCTACGTGGCGTAGATCCTTTGGCAGTGCCTAGGCCACGTAGGAGAGAAGGGAGGCGTTGATGTATGGATAGAAGGGAAAAGCGTGCTCCTGGTTTCTGCCGCAAAGCACCCAGGGTAGGGAAAGTGCTGAAGAACTGCTTGCTTCCAGGATATTCTTATGGTGGGGATGAAGAGGAACTCAAATGTTGCTTTGCAGGGAGGATTTCAGGCAAGAAATAAACGAGTATACAAGTCAGGAGCTCAAGAAAAAAACTGCAGAGAGCAGTAAAGACAAAGAAAAAACATACCGGTACAAAATAAACTAAAGCAAGCCTGAGCGCAGAAATAAAGTTAAGTAAATAGCGACGTACACCAGGGTAGCCGGTGTGATCATGTGTTTTGTGCAGCTCCGCCCACCAGGCGATTGTCTGTTAATGATTTTCACTGCTTTGCGCTTTGTTCTGTGCGAAAATAGTTGAAATGTTGCCTGGTTCCTAAACTGTGGGGTTTCTCACTAAAAATTCCACGCATCGACACGTGAAAGCTGGATTTAAAACCTCGAAGGGTGAATATCTTCCAGCAATTTCGGTTTTCCAATTTTCTGGCTTCCGAGTGACTTTTGCAACAAAATTTTCTCGTGATTGTACGTGACAGCTCGGCAAACTTAGGAACTGAATTCGAGTTGGTGAAGCCCCTGTTTAGGCGGGAGAAATCTTTCTGAAGTGTTCAGCCTCCGAGCTCTTCTGGCTTTCAAGATAATGATTTTTCCCGCCAAATCTTCTGCTGGTCGTTAAAAATTTGCGGAGTCACATGTGGGCAATTTACGTCTTTCCAAAATTCCAGCTTTCTAGCTTTTGCAACTCATGAGATAATTTCCCTACCAAAACTTTCACGGAGCCCCAAGTGGTACCCAAGGGTGCGCAAAGGCTGAATCCAAATTTTCAGGGTCGTACATTAGTAGAGAACATCACCCTAAAATTTCAGATTCCTAACTTCAGCGGTTCTCGAGATAAAATTTATCCACCAAAAGTTTCATGAGGCTACATATGATGCCCGCAAGCACGGGAAAGCTGAATTTAAATTTTCTGGGTCGCGCGTGGGCAAAGGACACACCCATAAAATTTTAGCTTCCCAGGTCCCGTGGCTCTCAAGATAATAATTACCCTCGCTCAGGGGTATTTGTAGCAAAAGAGTATTTCGTTAACCGAACAAGCTGCGAAGCCGAATTTTGCAGGGATTTCCTGTAGGTTGGCAAGACAAATGCCCAATTTTATCGCAAAATGAAAGACTTCTTCAACATCCTGCGGATTGTCAAATTTGCATTTTTATGCGTTTTTGCTGTGCAGCGCTATAGCAGCGCTATAGCGCTGCTACAGC